GCAGGAATGTCACGGAGCCCCTGACTCAGCCTCTTGCAGGCCCTGCCGCCTCTCTGCCCCTGCCCCTGCTGCCACCTCTGCCCCCTGTGCCGAGCGCCACTGGCCCACTGGGCCTGCCCACGGAGGGAGCTCCACCTGCCCCAGGTAGGAAAGGCCGAGGTGCGGGGAGGGAAGGCTGGCAAACTGGAGACCTAGATCTAGGGAGTCTGCAGTCTCGAAGGCTCCAGAGCCCTAGGGACTCTGACGTGCCGGGCTGGGTCATAGGTGGGGAGTGGCTGGCTTTGGGTTCTCTCTGCCCAGGGTTCAAAATAGCTACTTACCTCTCCTGCCCCTTCTCCCCATCCTACCTTCTTTTGGGAACGTGCTCTGCTGTTTGCTTATTCATTCATTCACTTAACATGTTACTCATTTATGCATTTACTGAATGAATGAGTTAATGGATGCATTTACTTAGTGAATGAGTGTTCACTTCCTCATTCAATAACCCTCCTTAAGCTCCTTGCTTCGTGGCAGCCCCTGTTCTGGGCACTGAGGATTCACAGACCTGACATGGTTCCTGCCCTCATGGAGTTCCTTGTCTCCAGAGAGGACATCACAAGGGCCACGCACTGCCCACAGAAAAAGTGACCGTGACCCCACCCCTTTATGCCCACCTGACATTCTTAGTGCCCCATGGGGCAGGTACGGCAGGGATGGTGGTGTCATGGTCGGCGCCAGGGAAGTGGGGCACAGAAGGAGGGCTGAGGTCACCCAGTGTGGGCTCTGGTCTTGCCTGCAGGTGTTTGGCTCTAAGGCCCCAGCTGACATGCCCCTGTCTGCCCGGCCCCCGCCCTGGGTGCCCCCATGTAGCCCTGACTCTGCCAAGTGTTCAAGAGAGAGGTGGGTCCAGCTCTGGGGCACTGGGGGGTGGGGGTGGGGGAGGAGGCCCGGGAACGTGAAGGCTCGCTTCCCACCACCCAACCCACCCTGGCCCAGGAGTCACAGCGACTGGATTCAGACCCAGGTCCTGGCAGAAATGCTGACCAAGGAGGAAGTGGTACCCTCTGCACCTCCCCTGCCCATGGGGCCCCTGAACACATCGCCAGTGCTTAGAGGTGAAGAAAGGAGCAGGGGAAGGGCTGCCAGTGTTTTCTGTGATCTTGGGCCAGAACCCACCTTCTCCAAACCTTAGTCTTCCCATTTCTGAAATAGGGGGCATATTAAGAGGTGAGAGTCCTAAGATCTTTCTATTTCTGGAACTTAGAATTCTCTTCCTAGGGCCGCCTGCACTCCCAGATGTATGCTGGAGCCCATGGGGTACATGGCAGGGGGAGGGGAGTGGGTACCACCTGCGGCTTCCCCAGAGGATGTTGGGACCCTGATGGACCTGGGTGAGGCAGGGTCCAAGGGAGTGCTGGCCTCAAGTCTCACTGTGTCCCTCAGGTGGGGCTGCAGTTCCAAACCTGGCCCGGAGACTGGAGGCCCTCAAAGACCAAATCGGCAGCTCCCTTCGACGTGGCCGGAGCCAGCCACCCCCCAGTGAAGGCACATGAAGCCCCAGCCGGGTCCTCCCTTCCTGCTGCGGGCAAAGTGCGAACCCAGGAG